CTATAAACCTGAACCAGCCCTAACTATAAACCTGAACCAGCCCTAACCATAAACCTGAACCAGCCCTAACTATAAACCTGAACCAGCCCTAACTATAAACCTGAACCAGCCCTAACCATAGACCTGAACCAGCCCTAACTATAAACCTGATCCAGCCCTAACTATAAACCTGATCCAGCCCTAACTATAAACCTGAACCAGCCCTAACTATAAATCTGAACCAGCCCTAACTATAAACCTGAGCCAGCCCTAACTATAAACCTGAGCCAGCCCTAACTATAAACCTGAACCAGCTCTTACTATAAACCTGAGCCAGCTCTTACTATAAACCTGAGCCAGGCCTAACTATAAACCTGAGCCAGCCCTAACTATAAACCTGAGCCAGCCCTAACTATAAACCTGAACCAGCCCTAATTATAAACCTGAACCAGCCCTAATTATAAACCTGAACCAGCCCTAATTATAAACCTGAACCAGCCCTAACTATAAACCTGAACCAGCTCGAACTATAAACCTGAACCAGCCCTAACTATAAACATGAGCCAGCCCTAACTATAAACCTGAACCAGCCCTAACTATAAACATGAGCCAGCCCTAACTATAAACCTGAACCAGCTCTAACTATAAACCTGAACCAGCCCTAACTATAAACATGAGCCAGCTCTAACTATAAACCTGATTCATGTCTTTTAGGTTCTTTTCCTCAGGTCTTCTTCACCTCCCTTCCTCCGGTTGCTGCTCAGATCCCCGTCTCTGCAGTCCAGCTTCACCCGGTACGAGCTCACTGAGTACTAATACTACGTATGACCACCGTGCTGCTTTGTTGATGCTCCGTATGATGTCATGTGATGTGTCAGATCTGATGTGATGATGTCATCCTGTCATGTGTTGATGCTGCTCTTTGACTTGTTGGTCTCACTGTGAAACATTTTGTCAATGTGACTTCTGCTTAAATAAGAGTAGAGATACTTTAGATAGATACGTGTACTTCGTCATGTACTTGTCTTGTGTACTTTGTCCAGATGGTGATCAGTCAGCAGAGCACCAGTAACCTGACGGAGTTGCAGCTCGTCAGTCTGGACGTCCACCAGTCAAAGGACAACTGACTGTCACATGACTGTCTCTCTTCCTGTTTCCTGTTCATTGGACGCTTCACACAGGAAGTGACGGAGACATCTGAGATTTCCACAATAAAGTGTCAGAGAGTATTTTGAGAAGAACAAACATTCAAACTCTTCTCAAATATTCAGCTGTTATTTAGTGATGATGTCATTGTGAACACACTCACCTGTGTGTTCACGATGACATCATCTATCTGTTCTCTCTGTCACAGTATGATGTCATCATTTTAAAACAGGAAGTTCAGTCAAAATCATGTTGACTTCAGCTTCCTGCTGCACCAGGTTCAGGATTCAATGTGAGCAGGTTTAACATGGACCTCGTCAGACCTGCAGGACCTCGTCAGACCTACAGCACCTCGTCAGACCTGCAGGACCCCTGCAGGACCTCGTCAGACCAACAGGACCTAGTCAGGACCTCGTCAGACCTGCAGGACCTCGTCAGAACTACAGGACCTCGTCAGACAAGCAGGACCTTGTCAGACCTGCAGGAACTCGTCAGGACCTCGTCAGACCTGCAGGACCTAGTCAGGACCTGACTTATCTTGTAGCCCTAGTTCAGTCCTCAGCTGTCTGACCTCGTGTTTATTTATTCATACAGCTGTTGAAGAAATCTATCAATCAATAATAAAAATAAAATAAAGTATTTTATTCACTGAGTCTGGTGATCAGGTCTAAAATATGATGGTAGTATTCTGAATACCAGAATATTCTGATATAAAAAATACTAGATTACTCTAAATCAGCGGTTCCCAAACTTTTTAAGCCACGCACCCCCTTCTACATCCCGACCGGGTTCACGCACCCCCAATCCCCCCCCCCC